CATTCGACACCTGTAATAAAATATAAGGCCTTGAAAAATTTCTTAACTGGTTCTAAAGGCTACCCTCGACAAACTATAATCTAAAACATTATAAGTACTTTAGGGAAAAGTTTTGGTCATATCGAACCCCCACCATGCCTTAAACAAAAAATATCGAAGGCAAGGTCTGTTCGAACCTCCGAACATGACCTAACTATTTCATGCTAAGGCATTTCGATCTTTGCAAACATAAAGAATAAAGTGAAGGAAAACAAAACTCATAAATTGTCGAAGGGAAAAGGAATCCTTGTATTATATATACATATAGTCTTTACAAGGGCCAAATGGCCTTGACAAAAAAGTACAAGAGTACAAAAATACAAAAAATAAAGAAAATGTACAAGGCACTTAAACGGATTGGTCTTCACCGGAGCCCGCCTCGTCGCCAGGGTCATCGGAGTCTTCTCCACCCTCAAATCCGCTCGAACCCTCAGAGCCTTCTTCATCCTCGGGATAAGCCAAATTCTTGGCCTCGGATTTGAGCCCCTTAGCACTCTCGATTTCGGTCGATAAGTCAAAACCCCGAGCATGAATCTCCTCTAGAGCCTCCCTTCTGGATTGTCGTTTTGCATGCTCGACAATATCGGCATCGACATTATATTGGGCCACCATCTCGTCGGCATTGGCTTTAACCACCAAAACCACCGACTTGGCCGTTTCAAGCTCCTTGGCAAGATTTTCTCGATCAAAGACAGCTACACTTAGCCAAGACTGGAGCTCCTCAACCTTTCTAGCCTACACCTCGACCTTTTTCTTTGTCGCTCGAAGCTGGACCTCAGCCGAAGTCAGCTGCGCCCAAGCCGTCTCCTTTTCTGAGGCCAGGCAATCCATTCTACCTCTCCATTCTTCGGTCTCGGCCTTAACTGCATCCATCTCATCTCGAAGCTGCTCGATTTGATTGATCTTCTGTTGGACCTGTGAATTCCGACCATTAGTCATCGAGTCTAGCTCATCGTCAATAACCTCAAATATTTTTACCTGCTCGGCCAGGTCGGCATGCTTTTTCTGATCCACCTCTAGCTCAGCTCGGAGGCTCTTAACCTCCCATTCATGCTGCTCGCTGAGAAGTTTGTAAGTATTTCTCTTCTCAGTGAGCCCTCGGACCTCGGCCTCAAGCTGGTTCAGCTCATCCCTATATCGAAGAAAAGTTTCGTGATGAAGCGTTGAGGCCTGCAGACACAAAGAGAAATGTTAGAACCACCTAAAAATTAGTCTAAATACAAATTACAGTCACCAAGAGATATTTGAAGTTACCCAGTTTAGCGCATGTTGTGCTTCATTAAACAGGCAGGGCGTGTCTACCTCGTTCATCTTAGCTTGGTCTTCCTCGGTCACCAGACACCAAAAGTAGCTGGCCACCCCTACGGGGGCAAAGAGGACCTGGGCATCCTTCGGAACGAAGATGACGATCGATCGCATTGGGTCAGGGTCCACACTCGGAGCTGGGAACTGGTTGATCAGTTTCGGGTTGAGGAAGTCTCGTTTGTTCCCAAAGATGGACTTTTCTTTGGCACCTCCAAGTCACCCAACTCGGTGGCGTCCTCCGTGGTGGTAGAATCCATGCCATAAAAAAATCCGCAGAAGGGGTCGTCCGCTCTGTGGGGCCCCTTGATGGGACGTTCCTTCACCGTCTGAGCCTCATTATACATGGACTCGATGAACAAGGGCGACTCAGTGATGTCTATCACACCATGTGCTTCCTTTGGGGCACTGCCCACATCCCGGGAAGCTTCGGCCACGGCCTCCCCGTTGGCCTCCCTAACTTGAGGCAAATCGGTCTCGCCTCTCTACGGTTCGGAGGCCCCTTGCCCCTCGAGTTGCGATGACATGCGGCCATCAGATCGAAGGCTTCTCCTTCTTCTTCGGATTCGTCCCTCAACCGATAGAGTGAATCCGAAGATGGTGCTCGAGCGTTTGTGCTTTCTTTGGACTTGCGCACCAACCTTTTCTTTGGTTTCTTCTTTTTCGAGCTCGAAAAACTGGGAGTCCTTTTTATTTTCTTTTCTTCTCATCACCCTGTCTCGGAGAAGGGGACTCGACGGGGAAGTTCTAACCACCGGATGAAGGCCTCAGTGTGACGTCCTTAGATAAACCTGCAAAAGGAAATGAAACAAGTGAGAACTTAATGACAGGAGAGGAACCCAGATATTACTTACTCGGGAAAGGAATCTCACCATGAGAACGAGCCTCTCACCGGTCCTTCAAAAGTTCGCGCAATGATCGCTCGGAATATGGCCTTTGTGACACGATGCTCTCGACCCACTCCTTGAGTCAAGAGACTGCATTCGGGACCCGAGCGACAGTTGCACCACCACAAAGCACCGATGAGAAGGAAGGAAAAAACCGTAAAATAAGATTTTGAAAATGAAATTTTACTTACGTAATATATTCCACTTCTCGAGGAACGGCATGTGCTCGGTAGGGATCAAGTCCGAGGTCCTCACTCGGACGAAATGGCCTAGCTAGCCTCGATCCCGATCTTTATTAATACTCGAGAATGGGGCTTTACTGACCCGACGTGAGAGCTTGATCAGTCCCCCCGAAAGATTCGGGGACTGTATAGGCACATGAGGTGGTCGACGGTGAACAGGCATCCATTGGTCTTGCTCACGAAGAACCGAAGAAGGATCACGATCCTCTAGAATGAGGGGTGAAGTTGACCGAGGCATACCTCGTATCTTTTGCAGAAGCCGATGATGACCGGATCCAATGGGCCCAGTGTAAAGGGATAAGTGTAAACACTTAAGTATCCCTCGACGTGGCTGGTGATGTCTTCGTCGGGTCCGGGAACCACCACGTGTTTGTCAACCCAATTGCAATCCTTTTTGACTGTGGGGAGAACTTCTTCAGTGATCGAGCATACGTATCTCGAGACCTCCTTACACCGGCCTTGTACGGGGGAAGGTTTTTCAACCTTGAAATCGACGGTTACCGAGCATCCTCCAGGGACGAACATTTTCAATGGAGGTTTCGAAACTAGTTCCTCGACAGCAGTACACGAAATAGTCTCCTCGGTAATCGGCCGCGAGGTAGAGTGAGTTTCTTTTTGGGAACGATTTTTGAAGTTTTTGCCATTTTTTGAAAATGGAGGAAAATTGAGGGGAAAAAGGAAGTTAAAGGAGTACACTTGATAGCTAGAGATGGAAATGAACAAGGGTTCTTGCAAAAGATCTCAAATAACCAAAGTATAACTGCTAGAAAGTATTGAAATTTCAAAGGTACGAGGGTAGAAGGTTTGAATGTAAAGTTGGAATGAACAAAGGAATAGGTATTTATAGTATTTCAGTAGGCGGTTCACATCCAGTCATGGCCGACCGGCGACTGACATGCATTTAATGCCATTAAGACTTGACTGGCGAGATGTTTCATTTGTTTTGTCGTTTCTGTCGCGGGGTATCGAAGCAAGAACCGGAAGCTCATGTCATTCCTCGACGTTTACTCTCCAAAAAACGAGGGGACTATCTGTATACGGTCAAATCGAGCTCGCCTACAACATGGTAAGTCAGGTTCGGAACATGACAATAAAGGACTGAAGATCGACCCCAAGTCTCACCGGGCTAGAACCCGGGGTTGGAACGACCGCCTTCGAGAATATCGAGCTCGTGATCCCGGAATCGATCCTAGCCCCGAACGAGCTCGAAGAAACATTGTTATCATAACAGAAAACCGAAATATCCGTGACCGGTTGGATATTGCGGCGAGAATCTCGACACGTATCAATGAGGAACTGGCAATCGGCAAATCAAGAGATTTTTTACCTATTTATAGAATTGTACCTAAAGTAGGACTCCTCTACTATATAAAGGGGGTCTGATGATTCACTTAACACATTGTAACACGCATTCCAAAGCAATACATTATTATTTTTCTCTATAAGCTCGTGTTCTTCTGTATCGTGATATTGATCAAAGTGCATCTGGCTCGAGGGTGGCTAACCTTCCGAGATTGAAACTGTCCAATTCGTGTGGTTTGAATTTACTTTATCATTGTTTATTTCAATTGCAACTTAATTTATCATTTTGTATCTAGTTAATCCGCGTATCCTTAAAACCACTTACAAATTCAATTGTTATCCGATTTTGAGGGTAAACAATTAGTATATACAAATTATTGGATAACTTGTAATCTTAAACATGTTAAACTAGTATTTATGTAATTATTAAAAATTATTATTAAGGATAAAATAAAAATATTTTAGTTATTTTTAAGTTAAGGAAAGGATTTTTTTTTTTTGTTTTTGTACTTACTTTACTGAAAATGAAAGAAAAAGAGGAGACTGTTGGTGGCCTTAGGAAATTTTGGTTGCATTGACGGAGAAAAAGGTTTAGAGCAGGTGTATTACATGGCTATTTTTTTTCTCTTCACGTTATAATTTGGCGAAAATTCAATCTTAAGAATCCGTGTCCAACTTTGTTTTTTGTCTCCTTTTCCGTTTCTCTCTTTTCTTTAAGCCCCTAATTGATTTTTGTCTATTTGGAATGGATCTCTTAGAATATTCTTCGTAAGAGAAAATGCCAACGTTTGTTTTATACTTTTCAAAATAATTGCTAAATGGATATGCGAAATTGATAGTTTTAGGGAGAAAAAAGAGAGCATGCACCTAATGTATTTTCGAGTTTTTTGTGAATTGTATACCTTCAGGTCCCTATGAAACATCAACAAAATAATTCTCTAGCTTTTTTTTAGTTCTAGTACAATTATTTTTGTTTACTCAAGCAGGAACAAAAACAAAAGAATATCATTTCCAATGTATATGAAAAATCAATATGCCTGAAAGAAGGGGGAAAAAAAGGAAAAAGAAGAAGAATGATAGGCCCTTGCCAATTTTCAACTTTCTTGTACAATCTAAGGAAAACCAAGTAATTCTATTGTGTTCGTAAAAGTACAGGGCCTTTTTCAAATATTTGTTTAATCTCAAAAGATTGGTGTTTAACTTGAATAAAGCACATGCCAGAGCCACCTTTAACCAACTCAATTGTCTTTATAAAATAGAAAAACTCTTCCAAAAATGCCTTTCGAAATGGGAATCCATAATATTTCGTCATCTGTATAATCTAGCATTACAAAGACTAAACAAGATGATCAGGTACTAACTTCAGCCTGCCTCTTTTTTTTCCGGAAAAAATAAAACACAAAAAAACCCTCCTGAAACACAAGCCAGCGCTTACATTCAGCAAACACCCACTCAAGTTTGTGTGTTCTTTCTACTTGCACATACAAATGCAACCAGGTCACGGATTCTCACGGACAATCACCGCGTTCTGGTGTATGCTACGGTCCTTTAGCTTAACTGGTGGCGTAACATGTCATCAAGACTTTGGGGATTCCAGGAAGCAAACTGATTATGCAGCAGCATCGCGACTGTCTCCTTTTGACCTTTTACTCTTTTTCTTGGTCTTTGGTTTCTTGCTTCCGCTGTGTTCTTTTGATGCCTTCTTCCTTTTAACCGGCTTCTCTTCCTCCTCTTCCATCTGTAATGTTTCATCTGGATCTTGTTGCTGAGGAGGTACCTGAGCTTCTGAACAAGCATAATGACACATCTACTTGTTAGGATAGTCAGATCTTAAGGAAAAGCAAAGGCAAACAAGAAGCGGAGGGGAAGGTATGTGGATCAGACGAAAAAGCTAGGTAGAAAATAGTCTTGGTAATTGGTAGAATCTATTAAACTAAGGGGGAAAAACCCATGGACAAAAACAATCAAAGAACTCTTAGGGCAACCAAGAGAAAAGTAGTGCACAAAATCGACCAAAGAATTCCAAATAAGCTCATAAGCCTGCTAGTATGGTATGGGGCACTACCCAGAATATATAAAAATGATAACTTCATTCTCTGTCTCCATTTCTCCTGACAAATTCCTATACTAAATTCTAAAAGGATTTACTGTACTGGACCGTATAAAGAAAATTATATTCCACAAGTCAGACGGGAAACATAAGAACAAGAAAGACGGAAATCCAGGTTGAAGAAAATTTGTTGATGTCTTAAGAAAGAGAATATTTAGTACTATCTGGACACAGATACAGTCATACAGACCAAGGTATTATCACCGAAGAGCTAGGAGAAGTAGAAAGAAAAGCTTACCTCTCGCAGAAAATTTTGAATCAAAAACAACACTGCTAAGATGCTGCTTCAAGAAAACCTGCATCCAAATTCCAGTTTAAGTACTTGAGAATCTCTGTCTTGTACTGATTTAAGATAAATAAAAGATGCATGTTCATAATTCATCAGCTATGCCTAAATCCCAAATTAGTTAAGGTTTGGCTATATGAATCCTTCGTTCATAGTTTACCTATTTCTACACTGTCGATCTATTGCAACCCTACTTTTTATCCGGGCTTCGGACACGCTGTTCTTTGACATAGGTGGAGATTGTTTTATACCCAAATTAATCCCCCAATGTTATGTACCATGGACAATAAACTATCATTTCATTATCTGTTGTTACAGCCAAAGATTTTGCTTTTACAATTAGGAGTACGCAAATTCTCGCATTAGTAGTATTTCTGCATATACGCATGCTTACGAATATTTATGGCATGCCACACTCTTGATCTGACCTACAGTACATGCTACATGGTGCTAATGATGGGTAAGCAGCACATGTTAAACTTGAATCTCTTTGATCAAACCAGCTAACTATTTTGTAACACGTAACAGGGAAGAAGTAGCTCTGTTAAAGCAAGATAGCATCTGACAGCAAAAATTTATCATTAGGCGGCAGGACAGAACCACATCTAGACCCATAATGTAAGACAAACTATTATGTCAACCAAAAAGGCAGGAAACGAAAAGATGAAAGCCAGAAAGGGTTTCTTTCTTAAGTAATAACCTCTTCTTTTAGAAACATCACCAATTATCTTTATAGCCAGAATATGAGACACTAGAACCATTGTTTACTAATCCAGTATGACTTGGTCGAATTGGAATGCTAACTGAGGAAAGCTTTTAACTTTAACAACTTCGAAGTCGAAGGACGATAATATATCAGGTGAAAGTGAGTGTTCAAAGACAACAATTCAATTTGCCGAAACATACAAAGTTTTTGAGGAATTCTAAACAAAAAGCTTATCAAAAGAGCCCTGATGAATAATGGGAAGTAGATTGTCCAATAAATAAAGGACATAAAAAATTAGTGTTTCAAGAAGACACTTTCTGCTGATAGATAAGTGAACATTTTATTGAAACAAAAGAAACACAACGATTCTGCAGTGAGTAACACAGGATCCTTACAAAAGTGACAGTTTCCGTATCAAGAAATCGTACAAAAACTCAGTTCCAATCTAATCTAATGTGATAGGATGGAACTTGTATTCTGTACTTCTAGAGACTTGACTTTTTAACTCGATAGTCCTAAGAGCTAAAACAGCCCAAAGAGACATCAAGCCAAATTTGAGAGTCAGTTCTAAAATGTTGNGCTGTAACATAGACAAATAACATACCGCAGAGAGAAGTTGCCGTGACTTGACATCCCAAATGCGTAAGTAGCTGTCCAATCCTAGTCAAAAGTAACTTTGTTCACGTGAATAACTTATGAGGAACAAGAGTTAGAAGAAACAATAGCACTTCTATAAAGAGGCATGTGTTCTACGCTTCCAGTTCTTAAACAATGTAACAGACAAGGTTTCACAAGCTTCATACTTTCTATTATGAGATTATATCTTGCATTCAGCAAATGCGGAGCCAACATGACTTTAGGACAATATCTGTGTTCCCAGGCAGTAGCTTCCATCAACAAGTAATCATGTATCCAGATAAAAAATGTTGTATATACAAGGACCATGGACCAATGCTATAACTGGGTTATAAAGAAGTTATCTGCGATTTCAAATACTCACCACATGAGGCTATCATCGGCAGCTCTGGATGCCTAACTATAGATCTTATACTTCCAGAACATTTCCCCAAGAAGGATCCCAAAAGTTTTCCTGAAACAAAAAGGATGCACTCAATTGTGAGACACACAATATGTGAATTAAATGAGTCTAGACATCAGAATCGCGATTGAGAGAGCAAATTGTATTCCTAAACTGACGAGTTAATTATCATAAACAACAAGAATCATGTCAACAGAAAAGGAAGTTCAAGCTATTAAAACAAAAGCAGAAATCAACAGGTCGACACAGAATACCATTAAAGAACACCTTTGTCTGTGTGCAAATGCGTTTCTGAAACTGAAGTCATAAACCATATCACAACGTTCTTACGCATTAGACAAAATAAATGCAAAGTACAGTGGCCAACTTAAACATAAAACCTTTTATCAGTGTAGAAGAAACACAAGTTTGAACAAATGTATTATGTTTGCCACGTAAATCCGTTGTCTTACTTTCTACAAACGATATCAGTTCCGTGCCAGAACCAAATAACAGAACACACTTAGACTTGGATAACAAAAATGTGGAGAAGAACATGCACAACCATAAAATTGGTCTAGCAATATCCTCAATAATTTTGGAAAAACTGAATACTGGTTTAAGGATATCTTGCCCTTTCCAATGCACTCTTCTTCCACAATAATAAAATATTATCTACTTAAATGGCAAAGATGTATATGAAGATTATGTCTAATGACAACATAAACAATGATCACTATGCTGCGACAACCATTTACCTGTGCGTATATCAATAGAAGCAAGATCGCCTGACCCGTTTCCTATGTATATTGTCTGTCCATCTATATCCTCAGCCACAGCTTTAATAGGGGTCTCGCGAAAATCAAATGAAATAACAGGCCTTCTCTGAGCAGCAATATCATAAAGACGCACCTACAAGTTACCCAGTCCGCACAGTATATATCAGCACCAAAAAAATTTAATAGGTAAATCAGCAACAAATTTACAGACATGAAAGAACCAGCTTAGAATACAACTTTAAGTGCATCTATGTCCAATTACACGCTGCAGGTTTAACAGTAGGCAGAATGGGTGTATATGTGGATCTGATCTGGATCAACTTTAGTGTATTTAATAGGCTGAAAGCAATCTATGCTATTTAAACCAAAAAACAATTACAATAAAACAAGAGGCTTCTCTCCATTAAAACTTCGAGAAGCACCAACAACAGAATATCTGCTGTTTCTCCACAGTGAAAGGAATAGAAGAGCACACTGGCATAAAAAGATGGTACTGCATTGCGGAATCTGAAGAAATTCAGTCCCGGTATATCTCTGCAACCAGAGAACTCCTAGGGGATACTGAAGCAGGATTTGTGAGGTGAGGGTGTGTGGCTGAAATGCATGACTAGCTGAGCTCTTTTATTTTGGCAGATTCACAGAGCAATCCACCTATGGAGACTTCCTTCCAATTGATATAGATTTCAATAGACTAGTATAGGCTATAATTAGGGTCTCAGTAGTTAATAATATGATAGAGGGTGGTGGTTGGAGTCGGGTAATGAAGCAGTACAATAGTTGGCT